CACTTACCATATTCAGCAATAATACATAATAAACTAAAACACTCCATACTACCTTCATGTCATTGAACCACTTTTCTGTACATATTTATGAGTATTTTTAAAAGCCAGTGATCTCACTGATGCTGCTAAAATTACTGCAGAACAGCTGGTTCTAGCCTTGGAACTCTCACTTCTCCTCTCATTCAATAGCAGACAAGTCTTGAGGGTATGCATTCACTTTCTACAAATCTTAAAATAAACAATTTATATTACATGTCCTGCCAAGTTATAGGTCTTTAACTGATCAAATTCAGGACCTGAGTTTAAGAAGAAATGCACTGCAAGCCACTTTGCCTCAAAAGCTAGGACATTCAGACCTGAGTGAGATGCATTAAATGACGGAAAGCAGTGTGGAAGCCCCTAGGTACCAGGCCAACCTTTCTTCCCCAAGGCTACCTGTGAAAGCCTCCAGTATTTCTCTTGACCAAAAAAGAATAACATGACTTTAGCACAACATGAACTCAGCATTGTTACCAATGGGGACAGCAGGGGGAGGAAAAGAAGGATTAATACATTCACTACTGCCAAAAATGGAAAAGCATGTAAGCTGGTTACCTTGCAAGTACTAGGTGCCAGTTGATCTGCTTACTAACTAGACGAACCAGTCCAGTGGGCAGAGAAAACTTTGCAGGGCTGAAATAACAACAACATTAGGCGAAATCAGAACATACACCTAACAAAAGCAGTACCTGAGATACACATGCCAGATGACTTAGTTTTAAGGCAATGTCCTGGTTTCGGCTGGGATAGAGTTAATTTTCTTCCTAGTAGCTGGCATAGTGCTGTGTATTGGATTTAGTAGGAGAAGAATGTTGATAACACACTGATGGTTTAGTTGTTGTTAAGTACTGCTTGTGCTAGTCAAGGACTTTGCAGCTTCCCATGCTCTGCCAGGTGCACAAGAAGCTGGGAGGGGGCACAGCCAGGACAGCTGACCCAAACTGACCAAAGGGCTATTCTATACCTTATGACGTCATGCTCAGTACAGAAACTGGGGGGAGTTGGCCGGGGGGCAGCAATCGCTGCTTGGGGACTGGCTGGGCATTGGTTGGTGGGTGGTGAGCAATTGCATTGTGCATCACTTGCCTTGTATATTATTATTACTATTATATTATTATTATCATTGCTATTTTACTTTATTTTATTTGAATTATTAAACTGTTCTTATCTCAACCCAGGAGTTTTCTCACTCTTACTCCTCCAATTCTCTCCCCCATCCCACCAGGGCAGGGGGAGTGAGCAAGCGGCTGTGTGGTGCTGAGTTGCTGGCTGGGGTTAAACCACGACCGGCAACCATCGATCACCTGGGAGGTTTCAGCAACTAAACATGAATCAACACTGCACCCTGCCAATGATGAAGGCTAACAACATCCTTGTTTGTATTAACAGAACAAAACCACATATTAAGGGAACTGATTATTTACTCATCACTCTTTATACTCTGGTCAGCAGGCAGTTTGGGGCCCCCCTCTTTACAAGAACACCAATAAACTGTAAGGCCACCAAGATGGTCAGGGCACTGGAGCACTTGCCCTACAAAGAGACACTGAGGGAATTGTACTTGTTTAGCCTGGAGAAGGGAAGGCTTCAGGGGGACCAAACAGCAGCTCTCTGATAACTAGGAGGTTACCACAAAGATGGAAGCCACTAAGGTGCATGGCAGGAGCACAAGAAACTGTGGTCAATCCTTTGGTGGACTTGGCAGCGTTAGGTTAATGGTTGGACTCGATGATCTTAAAGGTCCTTTCCAACCTAAATGATTCTATGATTCTAAAACAGGGGAGGTTCGAAGCTGACATAAGGAGGAAAATTCTTCACCATGAAGACAGTCAGGCACTGAAACAGGCTGCCCAGAAAGTCTTTGGGATCTCCATCCTTTAAGCTTTTCAAGACCTAGCTGGACAGAACCCGAAGGAACCCAGTCGGAATTCAATGTTCTCCCTTCTATTAGCAGGGCTTTAAACTAGAGGCCTCCTGAGTTCCCTCCCAAACACTTTTATTAAATACCTGAAAGTCTCAACTAAAATCAATCATAAAAGCTAGAAATCAGACTTTAAATATGACTACTGGGGGGGAGGGAAGAAAAATGAGTTATTTCTCTCTGCAACTGAATCCTTACAACTAGACTTATATGATGGTATGGAGCCCATAAACACCACTATCCCACCCTCAAGAAAAGGGGGTGAGGGCACAAAATAAAGTAGAACACCGGCAATAAGGAAAACAGCATTGCCTGCTGAATTCAATTATAGTATTGTTTCACAGGAGGCCACCTTAATGCTCCTTTTCGTATATCTCAAAACCAACAGAATACCCCTAAAAGGGGAGAACTGATATCTTCAAAGCTGCCAAGTGCATCAACAGAGTAGTATAACCACAGACCTGAAATTCTCCAGGAACACTGTATTTACCCCAATAGGCTTCTGGGACCATTTAAGTGCCTTTTGAATCAGAAGTTAAATCTATAAATGGCATGAGTTTTGCTCAACTAGTTATCAAGCTTTTTGTACAACAGTTTGAACTGTCAAGGAAAAAAAAATCCAAATTATTACTCCAAAGGAAGCAAGTCTGCCATGCCATCATACCTGTCATTGAGGCTTAAGGAAAAAAAAAAAAAAAAAAAAAACCCAAAACATCAAACAGCTTCACTTGTAATATCTCAGCTGAGAGTGAGGAGGATAAATACGTGTTTTGAGAAGGATGATGTTTCAACTTCAAGTTTACTTAGGCTTCCGATAAAAGTGAAAAGTCAAATTAGTATACACCAGCTCTTTTCTAGATAGGCTTCAGCTAAGCGGTTACAACTTAAATTTATGAAAAGAGAATATCCTAAGCATTGCTTGGACAATATTCTAAACAAGTGTTCAATTTTACTTTCATTAAAAATAACTTTCCATCAACTCAAAACACCATAAAAATATTACCAAATAAAAAGATTAAGCACTATTTTCATCAAACCTACCTGCACCAGATGTACCGAAGCAAAAACAATGCAGGACCTAAAATGGAAAAAGAGGCAAAAATTACATCTCTAGCAGTTTGTAAACACTCTCCATCTTATTGCACACAATGTCAGAAATTCTCACAAAAGAGAAAGGTATTAAGGGAAAAACGCTCTATCCTTGCCCAATGAATTCTTATATTAGAGTAAATGCAAATGGCAGATCAATTATAGACCACCCAACCAGGAGG